AGCGATTCTCGAGTTTTATAAAACGATTTCTCGAGTTTTATAAAACGATTCTCGAGTTTTATAAAACGATTCTCGAGCTTTATAAAACGATTCTCGAGCTTTATAAAACGATTTCTCGAGTTTTATAAAACTGTTCATTTTGTATTCTTGCGGGGAATTTTGGCTATTGATTCCGTCGTACCGATTTTGACCCCAACAATGCTTATCCATGTGGATTCTAGGAAACCACTTAAGTTTAAGAGGAAGGTTCTTAGCCCTGAAGACGAGGAAGTCACCATTACTATAGAGTACGACATGCTCTTTAAACACTGTACCTTGTGTGGTCTTATGTCACATGAGAAAGGTTATTGTCCCACCATCTCCACAGCACCCAAAGTTCAGGATCGGAGTAATGTTTTCTCGAGGGTCCAACTTCAGCCTTTGCTAAATGGAAGTACTGATCACGGCTTCCAGAGCCGCAGTGGTCATTATGGATCACAACCTTCGTCACGAAACCAGTACTTGGCGAGTCGAGATAGAGCATATTCTAATCGTCACGAGAATGAGAGACATGGTCCTAGATCAGCTAGCATGTCAAATACTCGTGATGTTTATGCAGATAGGAACGGTGAGATGGGGAGAGATTATAAGAGTTCTTCTGACCGTGTTCTGAGGAGGCGCAACGACAAGAGTAATGCTGCTCGTCGCTATGATTCCCGGCAAGATTTCGGTCCTTATGATCGTAGGTCCACCAGGGAATGGCGTGAGAAACCAGTCACTAAGGCTGGTAATTTGGAACGAGAGGGTGAGAACCTGAACAAGTTCCATGGTAAAGCGAGAGAGATGACTGCTCCAGCATTACCGTCTGCGACTAGCAGTGAGCTTGGAATTGCTCAGACTCACGTGGAAGTTAACGGTGGCGAGAGTGGATCGGGAGCTCAGTGTAAGAAGATGGCTAGCATCATCGTCTCTCCACCTCTACGGACAGCAACTATGGAGGATAACGTCACAATTCGAAGTAGAAGCGCAACAAGATCATTGTCTTTTGTGGAGGCCGAAGCAGTAGAGGAAGGAGAGCAAGTCATTGATGCTTTAACTGATATGGAGATAAATGATACTGATGAGAAAATGATCAATGAGGAGTATGATGATGCTGATGATGATCTTTTGGGGGAGGAGTTTATGGAGGCAAGCGAAGAGAAGAGGGTTGGAGCTGAGGTGGTTTTGAGAAATAAAGGAGATACCAAGAAACGATCAGGTCGTTTGATTACTTCATCAAGTACTCACGGGTCGAAGCCGGGTTTCCTCCGTCGGGGATCCCCAAGGCTGCGAGTAACTAAGACATCGGCGCAAAAGTCTTCTCGTCACAAGGAAAAGGCTGGGAGTGCGCGACATGGTTCTAGGAAGACTCAAGGTAGATCACACACTGGAGATGGTTCGATGGGGTCCAAAAACCCATCCCCCCTTCATCCATGAGGACAATCAGTTGGAACTGTCGAGGTATTGGGAGCAACCTCACAGTTCGACGCCTTACGGAGATGTGTCAGAAGCATCGCCCAGGATTTGTGTTCCTTTCTGAAACTAAGAATAGGAGGCTGCTGTTACAAGACATTCAGGCTGACCTAGGATTTGATCGTTTGTTTACCGTTGAGCCACTTGGTCTCAGCGGGGGTTTAGCTTTATTTTTTATGGATGAATTTCAAGTTAATGTACTTTTTTCAAATAACAGAATGATTGACATTGAGGCAGTCATTGATGGAATAAAAGTCTATATGACATTTGTTTACGGGGATCCTGTAATTGATAGACGAGATGTAGTGTGGGAACGTCTTACGCGTTTCTCAACAACAAGAAATGGACCTTGGTTCATGATAGGGGATTTTAATGAAATTACATGTCATGCAGAGAAGGAAGGAGGCAGACAACGCCCGGATAGTTCCTTTCTGCCTTTTAGACAGATGCTAAGTGATTGTGGTATGCTCGATTTTCCTTTCACAGGAAATATGCTATCTTGGGTTGGCAATAGAGCAGGCAGAACGACAGTTAGATGTCACCTTGATAGGGCTGTGGGGAATGAGAATTGGCATGAGAAATTCCCTCATACCAAAGTTAAGTATTTGAGACTTTGGGGATCGGATCATCGTCCGGTTCTCGCTGATATCCTAAGGAAGAAACCTCGGAGAGCACGAAATTTTAAATTTGATAAGCGTTGGTTGAATAATGAGGAGCTGAGGGAAATAATTCTGGAAGGGTGGAAGTCACCTAATCTACCACCTAATGCAAGCATAATGGAGCATATTGTTAGCTGTAGGCGAGCTTTGAGCGAGTGGAAAAAACAGCACAACCTGAATTCGGAGAAGACTGTAGAGGAGCTCAAGGAGAAGGTGGATCGCCTATCTTCAACTGATGGTGCAACTACTGAGGAGATTGGAGCAGCCATTAAGGAGTTATCCGATGCCCTTAAGGCGGAGGAATTGTTCTGGAAACAGAAGTGTAGGGTCTTTTGGCTAAGAGAAGGGGATAGGAATACAAAATTTTTCCACGCCCTTACGAAACAGCGCAGAGCAAGGAATAGGATCACTCAGTTATTGGATGAAAATGGAAACGTGGTGGAGGATGAGGAAGGGCTGGTAGCCATTGCTACAAATTATTTTAGACATATTTTCCAATCATCAGATCCAGAAGCAATAGAAGAGGCACTCTCAGAAGTTTCAACGACAATTACCCCTTCGGATAATGTGTCCTTGACAGCTCCGGTTACTGAATGGGAGGTCAAATTGGCACTTTTTGCGATGCACCCAGAGAAAGCCCCAGGACCGGATGGAATGACGGCACTGTTTTACCAGAAATTTTGGGATATTGTGAAGGAGGATTTAACTCGTATGGTTAATCAATTCCTTTTTGATGAAATAGTGCCACCTGGTTTACATACCGAAGGTGGACAAGCCGAATCAGATGAGTCAGCTTCGCCCTATTAGCTTATGCAATGTTAGCTATAAGATTATCTCTAAGGTCCTATGCCAGAGATTGAAAAAGTTTCTACCCGACAGGATTTCAGAGACCCAGTCAGCATTTGTTGCTGGTAGACAGATATCAGATAACATTATGATCGCTCAAGAGTTGTTCCACGCCTTAAGAACAAAACCGAGTGGGCGAAACAAGAGGATGGCTATAAAAACGGATATGAGCAAGGCATATGACCGAATGGAATGGTCCTTCATTGAGGCCACCATGAGGAAGATGGGATTTTCAGAGGTCTGGGTTTCTATGATTATGAGATGTGTAACGTCTGTAAAGTACAAAGTCCTCATGAATGGGCAACCAAGAGGAAATATCACACCGGAGAGAGGTCTAAGACAGGGGGATCCTTTGTCCCCTTTCATTTTTATTCTGTGCACGGAAGCGCTCGTTAGCCTTCTAAATCACGCAGAGAACCAAGGAAAGATAACGGGGATGCGCATCACGCGTGCGTGCCCTTCGGTATCTCATCTTCTCTTTGCTGATGATAGTCTGTTTTTCTGTAAGGCGGAGCCCCGTGAATGTGAAGAAGTAATGAAAGTGGTCAAACTGTATGGACAAGCGTCTGGGCAATGTATTAATTTTGACAAGTCCTCTTTACTCTTTGGTAAAAGAATTGGACAGGATGTGAGACAAGAGATCAAGGACACTCTAGGAATCCAAAATGAAGGAGGAATGGGATCATATCTAGGCATACCGGAGGACATCAGTGGATCCAAATGTAAGCTTTTTGCTTTCCTTAAGGACAAGTTGAGAGGAAGAGTGAATGGGTGGACTGGTCGCTGGCTCTCAAAGGGTGGAAAAGAAGTTATGATAAAGTCAATTCTGCTCGCTCTGCCGACGTATGTAATGTCTTGTTTCCTTCTCCCATTGGAGATTTGTGAGAATCTGGCTAGTGCCATTGCACAGTTCTGGTGGAGCTCAAATCCACCAAAAAGAGGTATGCATTGGTCGACATGGGATAAACTTTGCTTACCTAGAGAAGAAGGGGGGATCGGCTTCAGGATGCTTCATGAGTTCAACCTGGCGTTATTAGCAAAACAATTATGGAGATTGGCACAGAACCCGGATTCTTTGGTAGCTCGAGTAATGAGAGGCCGATATTACAGACTGAGTACGCCTTTGCGTCAAAGCAGTACTAGTAGTCCATCATATGTGTGGACAAGTATCTCGGCTGGTAGGGAATTATTACTGCAAGGAATTAGACAGAAAATTCACTCGGGATATGAAGTTAAAGTCTGGGAGGATCCTTGGATCCCTACCATACCTGCGAGACCAGCAATCCCATTAGTTCCGGTTATGCACCCGAACATGAGGGTGAGTGATTTGATTGACCAGACTACTAAGTCTTGGGATGATAGTCGTCTTCATGACTATATATATGCTGCTGATATACCACTTATCAAGAGTTTGGCCATTAGTTCCATGCATCGACGAGATACGTTTTGCTGGAGCTACACGAGGAGCGGGCAGTATACTGTTAAATCTGGTTACTGGGTTGCACGAAATATCTTGCGCAAGGAAGAGGATTCTGTAGTTCGTGAGCCTAGCATTACTAAACTTCAAGCACATGCTTGGAAGGTCAGAGCTCCCCAGAAGATTTGCCATCTTATGTGGCAGATAATAACAGGGCATATGGCTGTTACGAGTGTGTTAAATTATAGACATATGAGATGTGACAATCATTGCCCTAGATGTGGGGAACCGGAGGAGACGATCACACATGCCATTTTTGAGTGCCCACCTGCATTACAAGTTTGGGCGCTATCATCTACGCCTACCAACCCTGCTATGTTCCCAGTACAAAGCACATACGCGAATATGGATTATCTGTTCTGGCGGAAAAATGCGATAGTGGAACCGGAATTAGACAGGGACCCTTATCCTTGGTTAATCTGGTACATTTGGAAGGCTAGGAATGACAAGCTTTTCAGAGGTATTGATAGGGATCCCCTGGAAGTTGCACAATATGCAGAGAGTGAATGTCAGGCATGGTTTAAAGCAAATGAGCAGGAAATTTCGGCTTCCATTGGGGGTGGAGGTAATGAGGACCAAACCTTAAGTTTGGAGAATATATGCATGGTAGATGGATCATGGACTTCTACAAATACCTTTAGTGGTTGTGGATGGGTGTTGTTTGATAGTCATGGCAACAGTAATCTCATGGGGTTGCGTAACTTTGATCGAGTGGAGTCGGCG